ACGCAGTGTGCCATCGGTGCGTTCTGATCGTGATTTTGCGGCCATGGCTGGCATGTGTACTGGGGCTGCTGCAGCAGCGTAGCAATGAATGGTTTCTTGTCATAGAAGAGAACTAGTTCACTGTCGACTAGTTCACTAGAAGCAATACACGACTGTCGACTAGTTCACTAGAAGCAAAACACGACTTTCGACTAGTTCACTAGAAGCAAAACACGACTGGCGACTAGTTCACTTGAAACAAAACACGGCTGGCGACTAGTTCACTAGAAGCAAAACACGACTGTCGACCAGTTCACTAGAAGCAAAACACGACTGGCGACTAGTTCACTAGAAACAAAACACGGCTGGCGACTAGTTCACTTGAAACAAAACACGGCTGACGACTAGTTCACTTGAAACAAAACACTGCTGGCGACTAGTTCACTAGAAGCAAAACACGACTGTCGACTAAAACACTTGAAAAAAAGCACGACTGGTGACTACTTCACTCGAAACAAAGCACGACTGGTGACTACTTCGCTAGAAACAAAGCACGACTGTCGACTAGAACACTCGAAACAAAGCCTGTCTGTGCGTTGGAGTTATTACAGTCTGGGACGTATTTTTCACCGCGTCCATCTAACAACAGCTTCGCAAGTCGATCTTCTTCTTCTTTTGGACCTTGCAGAAGTTCATCTGCAAAACTTGCGGAGGTGACGTCTCTAAATTGCTTTGATCACAAGAGCCTTCGTTGGCAACTTCCCGCTCCCGACACGCCAGCTCGAACACGAGATGAATCTTTCCGCACCTCATGCAGCTGCTGCTTCCCTGAGAAAATTTAGAAAATTTACAGTCGCCCCAGCTTCTGGTAATCCAAATCAGAAGCTGCCGCGTCTGTAAATTTCATTGGGTACCTCTTGCACTAGCTGCACAGGCAGATGCTTCTTGCTTCAGATTCTGGAAAACAATTATCCAAAGACCAGAATTTCGAACTGATGATCTGTGGTATAGTTAAGAAATGATGCATACAGCTTTTATTGATAGAAGTTTTCGCTGTGTTCTTCAGGCGAAAGTGGGACCAATCAGTGTGACGAAATTTCGCATGCAGATATACTTCAGAGTTGTTGGGTAGAAGATAATGTCTTGGATGCAGGGTATTAATAGCGAAAACAAAAAAAAAATTGGCTTACATTTTTCTTGCCCTTGATTTTACACTATCTTTAAGTGCCCATTTCTTATCAAGCAATGAATAAATCTCCCAACAGAATATACTCGGTGCATGTTATTCAAATGCCGTATACTTGCTGGGAGGGTAAGTAAAGATGGCAATGGGGTTGACTGCTGGATCTGAGTCTATTTTCGGGCAAAAAATGTTGCAGTGTCATTGCGTTCAGTGCAAAGATTTGGCTGGGGCTTAGCGCTCTTCCTCATTTCTCCTTCTCTTTTCCTCTCCTTTCTTCTGTGTGCTCCTCTATTTCCTTTTTTTTCTTAAATTTGCTCTTCTTTTCCTCTTCTTTTCTTACATGTGCGCCTCTTTTCATCATCTTATCTTCTATATTTATTCGCTGCTACATCTTGACACATCTGGCACTTAGCCGAATCTCGAGCATGATCTTTTTCTTTATCTAATCAATGACTTGCTAAGTATACTTGGGCAAAAATAGGTTAAAAATTATTGATACAGATCCTCAATCTGTGTTTTAGAGAATAGAATAGAATAGAAGTGTCGGCACTGAAGAAATAGGCCCATGGCCTGTTGCCGATTCTTAAACTGTTCTGTTAAGCTCATCCTTAAAAGTTATGAAACTATTGAAAAGACACGAAATATTCTTGGTATTGAGTGAACTAAATCTTCATAGGTTAAGTCCACCATGTATTGCTAATCAGCATAACAGACACTGTGCATGACCACCGGGATCTGACGGTTAAATAACGTTGCTTAAACGCTGTTTCAACGACATCACCTAGTAATCAATATTTTTTCAACATCATTTGTGGAGGGATGCATGGGTTCAGGAGACGACGCGCTTGCATCGATCTGTTTTGTGACCAATTCGTCACACAACGAATTAGTTGTTATCGCATTCATATCATGTGTTGAAAATTGTCTTTATTATGTAAAAGTCTCTCCGCTGCGCTGCGAGTAGCTGAAAAACATTGTTTATCACGCAATTTTGTGTGTTTGGGATGAAGCTCACAATGTTGGGGCAGATGCATGTAAATAAATTCGATAAGTAGATCCAAGATATTTTAATTCAATTAATTCATTATAGGGCTTTCATGTAGACTAACGCTTTTGTAATAGCTAATCAAAAAACAGTATTGAATAGCGTATTATAGCGTGTAACTCTTATGAGAAATAAAATTAGTTCTCACGTAGAGACGTTGCCCCCGACTGTACTATTTTTAATTGTTAAGTTAGTTTGTATAATTAAAACTTATATGGAAGGTAAGTAAAGTTTAAATTATATATTGTTAAGCTATGAACGCAAAATTTTGCATAATGTGTAGGTAATAATTTTAATTATTTACCATCACATAATGTGTAGTCAACTGATTGTTTCCTAAAAATGATTACTTTTACGAATCTTCATGATCTTTGCATTTACTACATTTTTAGCACGAAAATTTTTTATGTTCTACCTCCTCATCCTAGGCTGAATCAACTTCATAGGTTAAATCCACCATGATCTTTTGCCCATGAGGTCACCTGAGTTTTAAAAATACTGTAACTGAAATGATATTATCTCGTCGCTATGGTTTTCCTTGACTCTTCAAGAAATATGAAATCGATGTCCCGAAGGCTTTAATCTCGTGTATCTATTTTGAATCCAATTGTTTCTCTCTCGGCCTCTAGAGGAATGACACCTGAGGTTCGACCGTATAAAGAAGTCATTTTTTATTCAATTTTTTTGCTCTCTTGTCCATAGAATCGGTCAACTCAATACCATGCGGCAACGTTATGTGGGAATTTTTTTACCGTTGCTCACAAGCATTAATGTAGACGTTGAGCATTCATGGCCAGTGTTTATTCCTGCTCAAAGAGAACGAGCATGTGCTTTGCCGAGCAAACTTGCTCAGGCGCTTTCTAAATCCTCCGTCCAATAGCCCGAGCCCAGCAAATCTCTGGAGCCCTCGCTAGGCGTCCATTGATGAAACGATGATGGAATCCTTTCATTTGGAGCCTCGGGTCTTCACCCGCATTCTTGGTCAGCCCCAAATGCTGCACGGGGGCACCGTGACCGCAAGATTCGCGGCCTTGAACCTGACTAGCTTGGGCGGTCCCGCGCGGCAGCTTTAAAGCGTCCCGACTGCCTCGATCTTGCCGGGATCTGCCGAGTCAGCTCCATAGTCCGGGGTGCAACATTTGCTCCACAGTCCGGTGTGCAACATTTGCTCCACAGTCCGGGGTGCAACATTTGCTCCACAGTCCGGGGTGCAACATTTGCTCCATAGTCCGGGGTGCAACATTTGCTCCACAGTCCGGGATGCAACATTTGCTCCACAGTCCGGGGTGCAACATTTGCTCCACAGTCCGGGGTGCAACATTTGCTCCACAGTCTGTGGTGCAACATTTGCTCCACAGTCCGGAGTGCAACATTTGCTCCACAGTCCGGGGTGCAACATTTGCTCCACAGTCCGGAGTGCAACATTTTGCTCGCTCCTAACCCAGGATTAACCCTAACTCCTGCTCCTAACCCAGGATGTAAAATTGCCTCTCTTTTCAATTATCTATTAGTGCCTCTTTTTCTGAAAATTTTCTTTATGTACGTTCACCCTCAATACTTTTGCCCTCTGTAATTTGTCTTTAAGTAACTTTGCCCTGTGACGTCAAGAAATGCATGCATGCTTCATAACGAGATATCCTGAGGCGCTAGCGTGTGATGCGAGCTGAGATGCTGACTAAGACAAAGTGAGGCGAACGCGCACATTTTCTGGCAGGTGCCTATAGCTCTCTCAGCCTTGCCGAAAAATGCCACTTGGCGATCTGGTTACGATGCTGTAAGCCTCTCCGTCAGCCTACAAAACTTGCCTGCTTTGCATCTTGCTTACCGTCACTCGGTCGGGAGAGAACGCGAGCGTAGCGTGGAAATAGGTCCTTGTTATAAGAGTGTTATAAATCTTAATAAGAGGGCACAAGATCATAGTTGACTGCAATACATTTTGCTCAGGCATTGATGGTTCGGTAAAAAGTTTTGACAGAAATCGATCATAAGGATGCATTGAGATGACTGCAAAAATTGAGTTTGTACAGTAGTTTTTTATTGAAATTTTATAAATGGAGCCGAAACAGTCCTGCTGGTGATTATTTATGGACCCTATGAAGTCTAAGGAACAGTTACGCGAGATTTATTTTGTTCAATATGATGAGGTAACTTTCCGCACAATAGAGTAGTCGATGTGCTGAATCGGGTTTTGATTGAGTTCACTTACATTCAAGCTGTTGCAATTAAATGCTCGGAAATCGAGAAAATATTTCAGAATGTTTTCTTAACAATTTTAACAATCCGTATGCACCGCAAGCAACTCGTTACGAACCAAGTCGGCAGATTACCTTATGGCTCTGTAATTTTTATGGCTTTCCGGTTATTTTGTTTACGTAAATCAATGAAAATTTCGATGTAATCTAACGGTTCTCAGTTTGAGAAAGTCAAATGTTTTTGTTAGAGTGTGAAGCAGTGTCTTAAACTATGGGAAAACTTTAATGGTAATCCTAAATATCCATTTTATATTTAATATGAGCCTTTGAAACCTCTGAATTGAGGCCTCGATTGCAAAGTACTTGACTGTCACATTTCTGGACAAGTGTCACCAAAGAGATGATGGGGTGGCATATAACCTCTTTATGTTGGTTCATATTGAAATACAAATGACTTTTGCTACTATCACCGATGCTGTTAAAATCTTATCTTACTAAAAACTTTATAAATTGAATCGTAGTATTTCCAGTTGTTTTGAACGTTTGTCTCTTCTTAATCGCAGTATTTCCAGTTGTTTTGAACGTTTGTCTCTTCCATCAGGTAAAGTGGACGAAAAAGCGACCCAGCTCCATGCCATCGCATCTCTCAAGGTGCTGCTGGACGCCACTAAGCCTCAGAACGGACGCGTGCAGACATACCATCCAGAACCTGGTGATGGTCGACCTGACGCACAGTCGCAGGGCACTGAGGTGACGCACATCGATTCCATTGCGTCATCCGACGTCGCGTCGTCAGCCCTGCACCACCCAAATGGAGACCTGCAGTCTGAGAGCAACTCGCTCGCCAACAATGTGAGTTACGCCGGGCCTGGTACCGGGCGCAAGCGTGTCGGGGCAGAGAACAACGGGCTACCCTCATCAAATATTCCCCCGATACCGGAGGATGAAGGGCCTGAGTCACCACCCACCACCCCCATCGCGGTGAGCCTCCCCATATTAAGGACAGGGGAGCCACTGTCCTCTCCCCGCTGCCTCTCAAATTTGTGGCTTATTTTTAAATTTTGATAATCAGATCTGGGACTGATGAATTATTCTCTCTTTTAAACTAGTATTATAATTGAAATTCAAGCATTAGTTTACCTTCAAATAAATTTTAATATCGTCAAAAGTAATGGATGACAATGGATTTATGAACAGCTGGCGTGCCCTTTAAGCTGTCGCGTTCTTTCTAATCACATATGCAATTAAACAAATTCATTATTTATTTAGTAAATCCTAAGGGTAATGGGTTTTTTGACAGGCAGCGGGACAGGATGTTTGGCACTGCAGCTTTCCTTTCTATATCCTGGTTGCTGCATGAGTTAGAGTTTTAATTAGACTAAGATTTTGCATGTATTATCACTAAAAATATTATGGTGCAATTATCACCAAAATATGCACCATGAGTGGAGCGCTCCCACACGTCGGAAGTCTCTAAAAACAATTAAAAACAATAATGGTTGTAAGAATAATAGATCATTGCTAACAGTTCAATTCCACTTTTTTTTACTATTCAACAAAAATATTTTGTATTTGCCCTGCAAATATTATATCTTTTCAAGCATATACATATGTGAGGCTCAGAGTGTCGTATTAAGTCGCCTTAAACTATACACAAGTACCATTATCCTCAATTTTTGGCGACGAACCCGGAAGTACTCACTTATTTCGGTTTGCTGAGTAGAATATTGTGCGCTAATAGACTTCAGAAACGAACTAGCTCATTACATCACGGTTTATTAACACACACATGCAGCGACTTGTTTAAAGATGCATGCTTATCTTGTTGCAGATATTAAGGGAATGATGACTCTTATCTACCATGTTAAAAAGGCACCTCTTCCATAGTCAAGTGTGAACTTTCAACTTCCAGGACTAATTGAGTTGTGGTTTGCTTGAAAAAAATTGTCTGCACGGAGTGGTATCTTCATAATACTTTCGTAGGTTATAAAATATTTTATAGTGAAATTTAGTATTAATACAATAATAGCTTGAATATTTACTGAAATTTGACGGATATTGGATCACGAAAGCACAAAATTTATTTTTAATGACTTCAAGTGCCTCCAGACTGAAGGAACTGACCGAGTTCTCGGGCAGAGATAATTGTCGTATATTTTTCCTCGTCATCACTATCGAGGATATAACGACTCTGTAATATTAAAAAGGAGCGCTATCATGACGTAAACTTAGGTTGTGAAGGGATGTTTGATCGTTCGCTCTCATTTTTTTTTCTCATGAGATTTGAGTTTGGCTAAATGCGAGCATTGCGCGGAAATATCTAACGACGAAAAGTTCACAACTACAATAACGTTTAGATTTTTCTTGTTGTCGGGCACGTCCATATTTGATGTTCAGTCATGATATAACTTAGAATTATATATAAAAATGTAACTCAGTACTCAATGCAGTGAGTGACAGAGAGCGCATTTTCTCGTCGACGAAAACTTGAGGTCACGGACAGACGGATGGACAGACGGACAGGCAGACGGACGGACGGACATGGCGAGCACAATAGTGCATTATTTCCACAAATGAGAAAATGTGCTAAAAATATATATATATATATAAAAAATATATATAAAGCTCATCTCCTAGGCAGGAACTTAGCGACCTTCTGAACTCCATAGAATTAGTCTGGCATTTTATTCTCTTTCCTTGAGACGATGGAAACTGTCGCACTTTATCGGTTAGGTTTTAAGCGGCTTCTGGGATCTAATTCCATGAGTGGCTTTAGTTCCGGACATTTTTGAACGGGAAAAATAAAGCGAGAGAAAAGTTCTCGGAACTTCTGAGTCCTGAATTGGCTACGGCTCCGATCAAGAGCCGGTTTGTCCTGAGCCTGATTGCTGCTATGGGAGCACGAAATTCTTGAGAAGAAAATAAATGCGGTTGTACAAGTATGTATGGTTCGAAGAATACATTTATACAACTTTTATTGTGAGTTATTTACGTTGGTACGCTAAAATTAATTAATTAAAAAGGTTAATATAAAATTGTTATGGCAGAGCGTAATTGACTAATGTTCAGCATTTGATCTTATATGCGTTTTACTTATTTCAATTAAAGACATGAAATTCCCTCACAGAATCAAAATCTCATTTCGTTGATATTTTGCCGTTGAGATCAGGCCATATTGTGTAGCCATATATGCCTGAGTATGAGAATAACTGAATAAGTCCGTCTAAGAAATCGAAGTCATGCCAGCTTGATGTCTACATGTTCTCCACTTCCGTCCGACGAAATTTTTTCTTGCTCGACGCTATTGATGAAAGCTAATGCATTTCTACTACATTCAACATACATACCACGTCTTTCTCTGGCACCAAAAGTACACGTTCGAGGTAATTTAACCAAATATCGATGGCTGTCATTTCCATCTTTTCCTGACGATGAGTGGAAGCGTAGCTTAGATTCGCTTCCTTGTCATGCGAGGACCGCCTTTTATTTTTATTCGTTCAAGAGGTCAAGGCTCATCGAGCATTTTTTATCCTCGAGCTGAATTAGTATAGTCGTGCAATTGGGCCAGCGCTGCGGCGTACTGCTATCTAGCAGTGAAAATTTACAGACGCGGCAGCTTCTGATTTGGATTACCAGAAGCTGGGGCGACTCTAAATTTTGTTAGGGTAGCAGCGTCGTTACATTGCAGACTCTCATCGCGCCGCATTACATGATAATAGCCGACGCCTGCACACACCGAGATAATGCTTATCAGCTGCTGGGTTTAATGTGTTTCTGTGTAACGAGTGCGACTTCTTGCGTCCTCTCAGCATAATTAAGACTTTGTGTCCAAAGTTCCCGAAAATTCCGTGTAACTTCAGAGGAAGATGGAATGTTTTGCTATTAAGAAATTGCCAGCATCTTCTCCGAAAAGAATGAGTTTCTATATTCTGTTTTCTCGTTGATGAATTTTGTTACTCTCATGAATTTTCCGGGATCAGTAATTGCATCGGTATTTTTTTGTTCCATTCGCACCGCATCTGCACTCCGGCGGGTAAAGAAGGTTGAAATGCTGCCGGAACTAAACGATTCGCTGAATATCCCGTTGCAGCATCTCTGTTGAAACACGTGTATTTCCTGATTGATCAACCTTGTTGCATGGATACAGCACAGTAATTCTGTTTAAAAATATATCAATTGCTATGAGTGCCTCAATTTGCCACAAGCTGTGAGCATACATTTATTAAGACTCATTAAGCACCATGTACACTTAAATACACCAAGGGTTGCATTGTCGCAGTTCGAGCTGTATTAACTTATTAAACAACTTAAGCTGTTGTTTCAACCTTTTTAAATTTTGATATATGTTTGATTTGTACTCACAGTATTCATACACCAGCCTCACTGCATTGAAGTATAAAGTATTCCAGATGCACTACAATTTTCTACTCTATTTTCTTCTGATTTCTACAATGCAGTTTGTTCCTACCGTAGCGTGCACCAGGTACAGTTGGCCCCACGTACACTGCAGTTACATGTACCAATGTACCAGCTATCCACTCAGATCAAAAGCGCACTCTTGCACTCGTATTTAGTTCATGGTTTTAGACTCACTCTGTTAAAAATAATCACTCACATGAGTCAGCTGTGCAAGAGGAAGGCTGTGAGTCAGAGGTACGTCAGTTTGACTCACTCTGAAAAAGTGAGTCATGTTCACTCAACCGCACACAAGTCGCCTCGTGCATCAAGGTAACATTGTGAACATGATGAATAACGAGAAAATCCCGCAGGACCACTCTCAGTTATTTTTGGGTATATTATTTTCTGGGTATTGGTTATAATTATTTATTTTTCTTAGTATATTATTTCTGAATTTAACCTTATTTTTGACATTTCAGGCGTATAGAGTCATAAATTTTACAGAACTTGAGTTGCCCCAACATAAAAGATGCTCAGTTATTCNTTAACCTTATTTTTGACATTTCAGGCGTATAGAGTCGTAAATTTTACAGAACTTGAGTTGCCCCAACATAAAAGATACTCAGTTAGTCTCGTTTTTAAAACTATATTATATTTCGCTGCAACTTTACCTATGAAAAATATGGAATTAAATTTCTAAATAATATAATGCAGCAAAATTTATTTCCGTGCGAGAAGTTCCTCATGCATCTTTCATTCAGATCATGCACTCAAATGATATTGCAATCATCGCCAAATGCCAAAATAGCGAGCATAAAAAACAAGGCTAATAAAATGGTCGATGCAATTGTTGTTAATCTATATGTTTACAAATATTTCTTTCTCCTAGTCTTATAAGTTGTATTAAACATTGCGCGTAGAATAACAAGCTCCAGTAATCTATCGTCTCACGTTAACGTTGCACAAGGCTAAACAATGCATAATAAAATGGTCGGTGCCATTGTTGTAGACGTGTGAATCTATATGTTTACAAATCTTTCTTTCTAGTCTTATAAGTTGTATTAAAGATCGAGCTTTGAACAACAAGCTCGAGTAATCTATCATCTTACGTGAGCGCTGCCGGTCTGTAACCGCTTGGTACCTCAGAAGCCGACTGAACCTGGCTACTCGAGTCCCCCCACCAGCGCGCCCTCTACGGTGCTAGTGACGGAGGGCCGAGCCCTGATCAGACCCTACGGCTACCCTGTCATTTTGGACGAGTATGGCAAACCTCGGTCTTCCACTAGAGAATCTTGGATGTCCGAGGACGATGATGAAATGGCTCAAGACGTATGTCGTCGTCCGTATGTTGAGCTTGCCGTACACACACACCTAGCACTCTCACGTCTTTTTTGTTTGATGTTTTGCATTGAGCTCGTTTCACAATAATTATGGACCGACCTACAAAAATTCACTCAAAATTTATTATGCAAGTGATGCAGTCCCTTATTGTTTAACAATAATTATGAAGCACAATTATTGGTCACAAATAAAATCATGATGTTACTGGTTTTTGAACGCTGCACTAAGCATGAGTCAATTTA